TTTTATAGGTAGAACCAGAGTGTACACAAGTCCACTGGCAATGGCACATGTGTGCATATCATTCGATAGATTGCACCTGCAGCATTGTTTGTATAACTGCAAGTCCTTATGTTAGGAACGATATTAACCGTTCACCTCTACAGTCTGCTTTCAGTATCCGCGACAATTCTGTTTCCATGCTGCCACTCTCGCTTTAAAATCGTGGGCTTCTATTTTGTTTACAAGTGTATTGTATGATACTATCTAATACGCGTTTTTAAAATGCATAACAACACCAACTGTAGAACCTTATTCCACCCTCTTCGTTAATTCATAAAAAAACTTTATCCGTTTTTTTGGATTGTATTGGCTCTTCTAAATTAAACCATAATTTTCTTTGTGGAGATGTATTTTGTCACGGATTGCACCACTTATTTCCTTTAGTAAACTAGGATTCACCCCGTGCGATCCGGTGTCTTATCTAGCCTGAGCACCGATTGATTTGTCGTAATTTCTCTCGTTTTATTCTTGACCTATACAATTTCTCTGCCCACGTATCCGATACGGTAGCGTTGGCTGCATCCGCATCTTCTGTGACCACGGGAGAAACATCTATCTATACCTTTGACGGGATTGTCCCAAATAACTGTTTCATCGAAACTATTCTCTGTGTCCCACAGAGCATCCATTTGCCATTGGCTCCTCTCCACAGAGTTGTCATCACCCTGACGGGACAAATGTGTTAATGCCACACATTCATGTGAATTCTGCACTGACCGTCCCCTCTTCCTACCACAAGCACAGATACTCTCTCTGAATCCTCTATGGCTGTGGGATGACAACCTCCTGAAACGTGAGGTCCATGAACACACAGAGTCACTCATTCCTTCACTGTCTGTCTCCCATATGCACTCTGCCTGTCTACAATGGAGAGAGTGAGAGAGAGAATGTGTGTGTATATGAGACACTCAGAGAGAGAGTGAGATAAAGAATGTGAGAGACAGAGACAGAGTGTAATATTGTGAGAGAGTGTTAGAGAGAGAGGGAGAAACAACATGTCCTTGTGTAAAGGCCTTTCATGTCGGGAGGATGTCCAAGGCCGACGGACAGACAGAGATTCCGAGTTACTTCGCAGTTTCTCAACAACAAACAATAAACTGCATTTATTTCTCCTCCTTCACGGAGGATCAGGACTCGGAGCTTCTCCTCAGTTTTGGCTCATAATTGACGAATCCATTTTCATTCCTTTTCATGTGTTTATGTCAATAAACTCTTTAGCAATGAATCACACGACACTAATTGTGTTGCTCAGTCCCTGGGTCTGGTTATCAGCATCTAATGCAAAACAGCGGTCAGACACAGACAACAATTCACTGCTTCTCCTTCTCTCCTCGTGGATTTGAGGCAAGTAATCATTTGCAGTGATTCAGTCTGGGTTCAAATTACAAATAAAAACCTGCGTTTCCGCAGTATTGCCACCAGTCGGTGGTGTTGCACTGTGTAACTGCTCATTATATACTGTGTGATTATACTATTTATAATAATTCGGCATTTGATATTGCGCTGTTCACGTCTTGCAGACGCCTGAAAGCGTTTGTTTAGTCAACTCCCTTCTCCTCCTTGAGGGGAGGTGACCAGTGTCTCCCTGGAGCTGATCTGGAGCTCGGCAACAAATGTGGAATGGAGCCATTCCTGCGTGATGGTCACTCGGGTGGACACTGTGATCTCTGCCTGTCCCGGGCTGTGTGTGTGTGTGTGTGTGTGTGCGTGCGTGTCTGTGTGTGTGTTTCTGTGCCTGTGTGTGTGTGTGTGTGTGTGTTTCTGAGTGTGTCGGTGTGTGTATTACTGTGGCTGTGTTGTGTGTGTGTCGTGTGTGTCTGTGTGTGTCTGTTTGTTTCTGTGTGTGTTTGTGTCTGCGTTTCTGTGTCTGTGTGTCTGTGTCTGTCATCTGTCTGTCTCTGTATCTGTCTGCGTTGATGCTCGTGTGTATCGCTGTCTGTGTGTGTATGTTTGTACTCTTATGTGTGTGTGTTCGTGTCTCTCTCTGTGTGTGTATATGTGTGTGACTGTGTGTGGTTGTGTGTCTAAACCCCTGAGCTACAGGACAATTTACAAAGACACTTTGCATTGAATCCTGCAAAAACTCAGTCACGACACTATCCCGTGAAGCGCATTGAGACGTCTCAAAGTCCTGATAAGGCGCTAGGATAAAGACAATTATTATTGTTATTGTTGTTACAAAAAGACTTTTGAATCGCCCAAAAAAACACGTCTCCCCTTTAAGAAAGGCGGACTCGCTTTAAATCAAAATACTGTCTGCAGTTTTATATAATTTTTTGAATGGATTTTTTGATAGTGATTGATATTCCAATGATGAATATTTTTATTGTGCAAATAGAAATTAAATTATTGGCAAAATAAATTTGTATGATTCCAAATCCGTCATTTCTCCCTTGGAAATAAGAGATTTTCTACAACATCGTGATAGAAATCAGGTAATACCTGTCTAAGGCTGATTCAATGTGTTAATCATAACTTAAGGCTGATTAAGTTTGCAAAAGACTTTGCTGAATTATTTTGCTTTCCTTCAAGCGTGTGAGTGTGTCAGAGATACAATTGTTTTATATACTGCATTTATATTCTTATATTTATACAATATATAATATTAAAGTTATTTATATTTTTATACTGTGTGTGTACAGGAGAGACACCGGGAGAGGCTGTGTGTATGTGGGAGATATTGGAAGAGGCTGTTTGTACAGGAGAAAGATTGGGAGAGCTGTGTGTATACAGGCAGGACACTGGCAGTGGCTGTGTATATACAGGGGAGTCAGTGGAAGAGGTTGGTTTATACAGTGGAAGACACGGGAAGAGGCTACGTGTACAGGAGAAACACTGGGAGAGGCTGTGTGTATACAAGAGAGACAGCGGGAGAGGTAGGTGTGAAGGTGTGTAGTTTCTCCATTACATTGTGTGTAAAAGAGAAATGCTGGAAGAGGCGGTGTATGATGGAGAAACACTGGCAGAGGTCGGGTGTCCACAGGAATGACCCTGGGAGAGGTTGTGTGTATACAATCGGAGGCACTGGAAGTGGCTGTTTATACAGAAGAGACCCACAGAGAGTCTGTGTGTATACAGGAGAAACACTGGGAGCGGTTGGGTGTATAAATGCAAATAATGATCCATCAAGAAAAAAAAATGGTAATTTGATCGCTCAATCCATGACTGTTTGTGGGTCGCTGCTGTGCGAAATTGGCTGCCGCGTTTCATCCACATATGTACAGTCAAATCACTTGACAGCATATTCTGTAAAGCGCTTTGAGACGTCTAGAAGATGTGAAAAGGCACTGGATCAAATGCAAGAATTATTATTATTTTTATTATTATTATTGCTACAGAGTGAAGTCCATTTCTAGCCCCGCCAAAACCCTGCAGCACCACTTTACTGCCACCAGATAGCGGGCTGCACAGTGTAACTTCCACAGTATTCTCAGTACACCTCATAAAAATATTAATAATCTTGACATTCGATATTGCGCAGTTCACGTCTTACAGACTCCGCAAAGCGCGCGTTTAGTAAAAAAATCCCTTCTACTCTTTGAGGGAAGGTGAACAGTGTATCCCTCGAGTTGATCTGGAGGTTGGCAACCAATGTGGGAATCAAGCCAGTCTTGTGTGATGGACACTCGGGTAGACATTGCGATTTCTGCCTGTCCCGGGCTGTGTGTTTGTGTGTGTTTGTCTCTCTGTGTCTGTTTGTCTGTGTGTCTGTGTGTTTCTGTTTCTGTGTATGAGTGTCTCTGACGATATGTGTATCGGGGTGTGTCTTTGTGTGTGCCTGTGCGAGCTTGCTTTCGTCTGTTTGTGTGTCTTGGTGTATCTGTGGGTAGAGAGGAAACTTGCAAAAGGTTTCGCCCCCACTTGGGGATTGACCCCCTGCCTCTGGCTTGCGAGGCAGGGCTCTAATCACTGAGCTACAGGACCTGTTGCAGAGACAGTTTACGGTGTATCCTGTGAAGCGCTTTGAGTCGTTCCGAAGACGTGATGATACTCGGGTCAAATACAAGGATTACTATTTTTATTATAAAAAGGGCTATAACCCCATTAAACCTCGTCTCCCCTTTAAGACAGTGACGGCATCCCTTTAAAACCCAAATATGGTCAACAGATCAAAATCCTGCTCTGGCCCCGTGACCGAACCCAGCCCCGCCCCCAGCTCCGGCCCCGCCCCCAGCTCAGGCCACGCCCCTAACCCTGGCCCCGCCCCTATTTGTCTCCTGTTTGTAGCAAAGCCTCCAGCGGCTGATTGACAGAGAGAGAGAGAGAGAGAAAGTGAGAGTGAGTGTGAGAGAGAGGGAGAGAGTTAATGCAAAAAGCGGTTTGGGATTAATGCAGAATTAGGAATATTTTGCACTGATGCACTTTAAACCCCGATGATCTGAGGGGAATTTACAGCCGTTTCCCGTGTTAATCCCCGGCTGTGGGATTAAAATCAAAACCCAAAGTTAACGCAAAACCATATTTATATCATTGTGATTAACGCAAATATCGGGGTTTATTGAACTATTGCACTTGAAACACCGCGGATATGGGGGCTTTTAAAACCGTTTCCCGTGTTGTACACAGAGAGCGCTTTATTATTTAACCAGAAAGTCAATGATAAACCCCATGAGTATCGTTGGGATTAACGCAGATTTAGAAAGCCTGGGATGGGCTTTGAGACGTCTGGCAGAAGTGATGAGGAGCTGTGCACAATGTGTGGATTATTATTGTCGAGATCAGGAGCTGAAAGCTCCAGCCTGACGTTCATTGTGTCACATGTGACTTACTTTAGACTTTTCTCTGTGCAAATTAATTCTACATTCGCTCACAAACACAACCGTCGCTTCATAGTCGATTTCGGAAAGGATTGAGCCGCGGTCCCAGAGTGAAAGGTGTAATATAAACTACAAGCTTTATTGTATAAGGACACAGATTATAAAAGGTACAGACTGGTGGCCATCACAGCCAAACACAGGTCATGGCTGAGGATTTCCTTCTCATTAATCTGTCACTTGGCAGATCCTCAGAGGGTAAGAGTTTTTGCCGCCATAATTCAAACCGGGACCGAAGAAAGGATTAAGTTTCTCAGTGAAAGTCTGGGTGAAAGTGTGGAGATGAGACATGTTATCAGCGTTGTAAAATGTCACCTCTCCTCCCTCATAGTCCAGGTAAACTCCCAGCTTCCTGGGTCTTTCGCCCATGGTCAGTGGGGTGGGAGGTGAGGTACAAGCTTTATATTCATCCCCGTTTCTCAGTATCACAACCCAGAATCCGTTCTCTGGTGACAGTGTGTTTATTATTTTCCTGTTGACAGACACTCGGGCCAATCCCACATCCCACTGTGACTTGTTGTTCACCTGCACCTCCCAGTAATGTCTCCGTGATGTGAAGCCCTCAGACCCCAGGACACAGACACAGGGATCAAACCTCTTCGGGGAGTCCGGGAGCCGCTGCCGTGTGTCTCCGTGTCTCACGCTGGTCAGGTCCTCAGACAGGATGAGCTTGCGATGGGCTGTGTCAGGATCCAGAGTCAGAGAGGCCGGAGCTGAGAGAGAGAAACACAAAAGTGGAGTGAGGGGACGTCTGAGAGCTCAGACCGTGTGTGAATACATCTAAAGCTGGGGACACAATCCAGCTCAGAGGTCACAGTCGGTGTGACGATACGTGTGAGTG